TGTTATATTTATACTAGCCTATACATTACGCGTACCACACTTCGTGCATGCTTTGTAACTCCTCCTCCCCTACCGCCCCCCTCCCCTCTCTCTCTCACTCTCGCTCTCTCTATATATATCTCTCTCTTACACACACACACACACACACACACACACACGCACACACATACACACACATACACACACATCAGCTCAACGGCGAGTATGGAAAACGTGATAAATTAAAGCACTTTTAAGTGTTTTATTTTTTATGTGACAGAAGCCGTAAGCTTGTGGAAGGTGTTTTTGCCTTAGCCCTCGATCCTGTTGATCTAATACAGCAAACATAATACATGTGCGGGCTATACTCTAAACAGCACTGTTAATGCCCGACAGGCCTGGTTATACACGTCAAATTTTTATTACTTGGAGACAAAGGCGCCGATCCGAAGTACCCGTACCAGAGAGGTCAAATCACGATATATTATACAGGCCTGCGGTGAACAGCGCAATACACACGTTTGATATGACTGGTAAGTGGGACGCCCGACGCACAGGAACACTCCGTTGCCCCATTCAGCTCGTTCCATGCCCTCAACGGAAGTTGACAGTTGACATTCGTTGCTCGGCATAGTGTATGCGTATAATATGACTGCTGTGTGCTTCGAGACATCGTGACCAGGCGCTTGTTGTGTTTAAATAACGTTGTGCTGTTTTTTCCCCCATGATGTAGAATTGGTTTTTGTTTATTCTTCTTAAAGTTGGTACAATCATGCCTTCCAGCAGTAGGGGATCGATAGGATACTCTCCTCTGCCTCCTATTAAAGAAGGATCGAAAAAAATTCGACCAAGCTCGGCGGCGGCGAATATTCAGACACACCCAAGCTATACGACTGGACTTTTCGACAATGTTGTGCGTCCATCAACTGCCTCGACACAATTACACGGTGCCCATAGTGCTATGGGGCTCCGGCCACACACTCAGGCAGGTGGTCCGAGAAGTAAATGGCAGTCAAGAACAACGGAAAGCAAGCAAGAAGAAGCCATTGTAAAACACCCCCGGCGTTTGACGCTTGGAACAGTTGATGGCATTGCGGATTTGGATAGTATAATAAGGCCTGGGCAGATTCAGAGTTCGATTGCCCATCAGCTGAAGAGCAAGGTATGCTCATTTTCTTTTTCTTATCAATAGAATATGAGTGTGTACGTAGCTTCTCTGGTTGTATTTCAACCTGTAATAAAGGACCGACCGACAATATGTTAGGGAATGAGAATGTTTGTACATTGTACGTTTCCAACCGCGACGTTCTCTCGCAAGTGGTCCGTAATTACGAGAAGAGGGTGGAAGATAGGTTGCGTGATAGTATGTATCGCACTTGAAGGGAGGGGTGTGAATTATTTACAAGGAGGGGATCCCCAGATTAGCCCTTAGCAGGATGAGTGTCTTCTTTCTCTGTGTGAGAGGGCTCGATGAGGGACCATTGTTGACACGCGAATGACCTCGTTTCGTATGCAAAATGGCGGATTGTTGTAGCAACGAGGACACTTCCGCTACTAAATATAGCTGAGCACATGGCTAAATTGGGTCCAGGGGACTGTAATCCGTTGAACGAACCCGAGTTGAGACTGCGAGAGTGCGAGCCAGTGCAGTAACCTTGCGCTCCCATTGTTGTTTTGTGGAAGCAACTTGAGAGTCAGCTGTCTGTACTATCAGTTGTTTTTGGTTTTGTTTTGTTTTTGCCATAGATTCAATATCAATAGATTCGAGATTCAAGTCGACCAGAAATTGAAAAGTGAAAGAAGGTAAGAAAAACTGTGATTAACTGAAACTGACTGAAGGGACATTTGATGATTTTTAATCTTTTTGTGGGTAGTTGGCTTTAAAAAATTAGATTTCTAGATCTACAGATCTAGTGTGTATCCCTCTTCTGATCCCCTGGTATTCACAGGGAAGTTCCATAATTTGCCCCCCCCCCCCAAAAAAAAAATGGCCTTTGACTAGATCCAGGCAACACGTCATTTGACTTAATTGATCTTAATTCCTGTTTTGATTAGTTAATCATACTGTAATGACCGTATATATATGACAGCCTCCTAACGTTGTATATAGATGAACATTTTTTAAAACCTCAAACACTTCCATCTGCTCATAACCATATTGATGGTATTGTTATGTTGTAGATGTTGGCCTAGGCTACATGTTTCCAGAAATTGCGTTTTGACACATTTGCACTATATATGTCCTATTCCCCCCCCCCCCCCCCCCCCCGAAAAAACAATTGGAAGGGAAAATAAATTTAAAAACCTCCACCAACAACAAAAATAAGCCCAGCAGCAGTGGTGGAATCTGGGGGAACTCCTCAATTTTTGGGTGTTGAGTTATTGGATTCTTCTAAAAGTTTTTCCCATTTGTCTTTTTTTGTTTAAGAAAAAAAATACTCATCAATCTTAAATAGAAATAAAAAATTTGCGACTGATGGAGGTGGGCGGAATACCTGGTGTTAGATGTAAAATTAGCAAGAAAATGGCTGCCAAAGTTTTTGAGCCTTTATTCTATTTTTTTAAAAAGAAAATCCACATAGAAATGTATTTTTACATGGACGTATATTATAAGATGTTGAGCCAAAAAACAAAAAGTTGACGAAAATTGCCAGGTACAAAAATGGCAGTTTCTTCCTTTTCATTATTTTGACAAGCGCCTGATTTCCCCATATTATGATGGTACCTACATATAATTATTATGAAAGTTAATGTGTGTGCAAGTGTATGTGTGTATGTTATATTTACCATGCTGCATCAATTTCTCTTTGTGGAGATCAGTAACATCCTATTTTATTTATCTGATATTCCGGGTTTGTTTGATAACTTATTTAGACTGTCATCATTATGGTTCAGTTCACTTTGTCAAGTGTTTTGCAGAGGCAGAATGAAAAAAACAACTGTTTTGAGTCCAGACCGATCAGTATAAAGAAGCTATGCATGTTTGAGTATATTCCAATTTTCTGAAAAGTAACATATCTGATGCTATTTTTACAACATAGTCACTAATAAGTTAAATTAGTAGCTACTCTTATAAGCTGCATTATATGGAATTTCTCCCCAACACACTGCATATCTCACCAAAAGGATTCGGGAAGGAGAATCAAACCGTCTTACCTAGGCTACTCTTTCGGTTGAGAATGGGACATCAAAACCACTAAACTCAATGCCTTCAGAAGTTTAATTCTTTATATTGATACTTATGTTATCATTTGGTTTCAGGATGAAATAACAAAGGTTTGAATTCTTTATTTTATTTCCAGTATTTGACTTCCCCCTTGCTCAATCAGCACTATGACTCTCCTTTCTTCTCTCTTTCCCCACCAAGTATTCTCTCCTTCTCCGTTTTTTCATCTAAATAGGGTACACATGTATTTCCACTTTTTTGTACTTGTTTGATCTTGTGCAGAAGGCCAGTTGCATCCTCATAAAGTTTTACACTATACTATTTCTGATTGCGTTGTGCATTCATTCATAGGCATAGTAAAAACACTATTTTCTTTTCCTTTCTTCCCTCAGTTTGTCTCCAAATACCTTGCATATGCCCATCTATCTGTATTATTATATAGTTTGTTGATGAACACTTAATACTTTAGAGGTAATTTACTTTATGGTATGCACCAGAAGCTGTTTTCCCATAATTTTCGAAGAAATTAATGTGTATTTCTCAATTTTTCAAAAAATTATTTATTTATTTATTTATTTATTTATTTATTTATTTATTTATTTATTTATTTATTTATTTATTTATTTATTTGGGGGGGGGGGGGTGCGCAAGGGCTTGGTGAATTATGAACCCAAAATATGACCAGCAAAAGCAGTGAATAATGGGACTTTTATCATTTCTTTGTCAAATTTTGATATTGCAAAGGAGAAGTAAGAGTGTAAGTAAAATACAAGTATTTATATTTTTGCACTTAATTGCATGTGCACAGACAAAAATAAACGTTGATGTTTTATTAAGTTCTGAAGTTCTACTCATACGTGTCTAGTGTTTGCCTATTGTATAGTGTTGGTGAACATTTGAGGGAAACTTAACACTAAAAACACTACTTTCTAAATGTCACTTAGGCCATAAAGTTTGTTCAATTCCCTTTCTAAGTCTTTCTCTGTTTCTCTGTCATACTGCTTGTATCCTTATTAGTTCTCTAAGTGGTGTAGTGTTTTTTTTGCAGTTGATTTCTTTACTAGTTTTGTGGTGATTAGACCATGAGTTGTACTGTGTACTTTTGTGGTCACTATTTAACTTTTAAGGAAGTGAATCGTTTATTTGCCTGAACATGTTTTCTTGAGTTTTAGATGCCTTTTAGATGAGTCAATCTTCTGTTGTTGTTGGGGTTTTTTTTGGTTTTTTTGTGGGGGGGTTCTTTTCTTTTTTAAATTTTAAGAGTGAGTTGATTTTTCTTCTTGGTTTATTATTTGCATGATTTTGTGGGACAGAGTTTGTATTCTTTTTTTTTTGGTGCCTTTTAATTAATTTTTTTTTGGGGGGGGGGGAGTTCCCATATATAGTCCATCTGTTTGACTTTCTTGTTCTATACTTTTCTCCATGGTGAGTTCAATAAGTACGGGTTACTACTAGCGTACTTAAATTGATAGGCAATGATTAGTGCATGTTCAAAAGATTGCATTCCCCATGGTAAAATGTTTTGTACGTACAGTACTTGTAATAATGTTATTGTCTTCTGGGCTTAAATGCAAAGGCTATATTTCACATAAGATTCGTTTTTAAAACAAAGATTCTTTTGACAAGTGTGTGCAATAATGCTAATAATAATAGTGTTTTTGAAAACCAAAACTGTCGTTGATGGCTGATTCACAACGGCCTAAAAGTCATATATTATGCCTACAGAATTCTTTATGAATTTGTCTTTCTGTTATAGGTAGGCAGTACACACACCGACACACACACCGACACACACACACACACACACACACACACACACACACACACACACACACACACACACACACACACACACACACACACACACACACACACACACACACACACACACACACACGCCGCAAAAATTTATCCGAGGCGTGTCCATTTCGGGTTGCTCTCCGTAGCGCGCCCTTTTCCCATTTTGCACATGTTTATGTACGCATTGACTTGATTTATTTATCTATTCTTGTTTTTGTAGTGCATTTTGGTGTTCAATTGACTCATCATTCATAATGATAATGAATAATGGTAGACCCCCCCCCCCCTATTAAACTATTACACTCTTTCTCCCAATTCCTCCTTCTCGAAATAATCTGAAAGAGGGTTGTCTTTCCACTGTGTGGGTTTTTTTTCTTCCTAATGCTGATGTGTTACGCCCCCATCAACACACTTTGGGTCATTAAGGAAGCGGGCTTCGATCCTACTTGTCAGGGCCAACCTGGGCTGAGACTGAGAGAGAGATACAACGTACAAGCAGAAAGACCGCGAGATGCTTAATAAAAATGCCCCTACATGGGAATCCAACTCAGGGTTTATGCGTACGTGCGACGCGAAACGCCCAACCAATACAACACCCTATATTACTGGTCAATATTGTATTGAAAAAACAAAAAATAACAAACAATTTGTTTGGTCGCTGGCCTGCAAAGTGCCGTACAAAGTTTCGTGGGCATAGGTAAATTCCTCAATGAGCTATATTTTTTAACGCGGCCAAACGAAAGTGAACAAGCTTATAACAACACAGGTGCCCTGGTTTGCTAACCCCAACCGGTTGTTAATAAAAAGATCAAAGAGGCAACTGGAAACGATGTTCTTTGTACTTTGTCATGACATGACGACGAAATGTCTAATCACAACAACGCTGAGTCCGGTTTGCTAACTTGTTCTCTATCAAAAGATCAAAAAGGCAATTGAAACAATATGTTCTTTGCCACGACATTGATGTATCAGTTGTTGGCACTCGTAATGACAAAGGAAAATTTTAAAGCATAATTCAAAACAACAGTGTACTTGAGGGTAGAAAATTGAAGCAGAGAAATGTTGAAGTAACAATAAATGAACGATGTTTTTGAACAAACCCATCGGTTACGAATAAAATTCGTTACTTTGCTAAATGAAGAACGTAAAAGTAAAAGTAAGAAAAAATTATTTACATACTATTACATGGATGTAGTAACAAAACACATAGTTCATTGGAAAGCCGAGGAGACGACAAACTATCAGGGACAGGGAGACAAATGTCAGCATCATCTGCGCCCAGTTACGTTCGACAACACAAATCAAGGGACGAGTGAGTGAGCGGAATGGAATTCGAACGGGAGAACATCAGAGCGGCGCGCACTTTCGAGAAAAGAACTATCAAAGCCGCGCACTTTCGGGGAAAAAATATCCAAGCCGCGAACTTTTTTTAATGGTATGCATACAATTAGATTGCTGATTACCAATGCAGTACCATCCAACATATTCAGTACCCTCAGTGTTGTACTGGGTTTGGGACCAGATATCAATTAGATTTTGTATTGAATGAAGAGACTTTTCAGGTATGAACATATACCTAAAGGACAAGGGCGGTCTTTAAAGTGTTTGGTCAGCATTTTCATGCTCGTTCCGGATAAAAAATTGAAGTTGTGAGACTTGTCCATCTGCCTACATTTGCTTGCTACACAGTCTCCCCTTTTTCTTGATGGTGCTTTTCTGTTTGGTATGTGTTTTTAGTTTCAGCCTAGAAATGGTCTGGAAATCGCCTAATGTCTGCAGGGGCTGTACGGGGGCTCTCGTGACCTAGAGATTGAGGTGTTCGCCTCTCGTTCAAAGGTCTCGGTTTCGAATCCGGGTAGCGACGGAAACATTTTGTCTCTAAAATTGTCTCCTTTCACCTCCTTT